GAGTTGGTACATGGAGATAATTGTGGAGATAACCTTTACCTCAGCCACCCTTCTGCTGTAATTGGGAATTGCTTGGTTGGAGAAGACTGACATCAGTCCAGCAACCCTGAATGTCATCAGGGATGGAAGAGTGTGCCTGGGTGACATTGTTCTCACAGTTTTTTCCAAAGCTATTATGAGGTCTTGTCTTGGATTCAGATGTTGAAGAACGTATTAGACACTGGATTCAAAGCACTCCAGTCTTTGCAATAGCATAGGGACTAAAAATGGGGAGTGTTTGCTCCCCTTCAGCCGTGACACCACTGCGGCAGGAGGAACAGGAGAATCCTTTCTTCTAAGGCATCAAGGGCTGACCCCTTTGGATCTTTGGCAGGGGAAGAAATTAAATTTGGCTTGGAGGAAGCAGCCCATTAAGGCCAATGCCCCTTTTGGAACCAAATTTTTTCTCCTTTGGGCAGGCACTCTACGGCTGTCTGAATTTTTGTGGGAACCAGGCCCATATTCACAGGAGGCCATTTGGGGCAATGCCCCCCACAGTTGGCCACTGCCCCACAGGAAAAATTCAATTTCTTAAAAAAGTCAAAACAACTTAGAATGTAAGATGTGCTTAAAGGTAAAGGTCCCTTGTTCGAAAGCCAGTCAAATCCGACTCTAGGGTTGCGGTGCTCATCTCCGTTTCAAAGCCGAAGAGCCAGCGCTGTCCGAAGACGTTTCCGTGGTCATGTGGCCGGCATGACTAAACACCAAGGCGCACGGAACGCTGTTACCTTCCCACGGAAGTGGTACCTATTTATCTACTTGCAATTTCTTGCTTTCGAACTGCTAGGTTGGCAGGAGCTGGAACTAGAGACGGGAGCTCACTCCATCATGCGGCACCCAGGTCTCGAACTGCTGAACTGCTGACCTTCCACAGCCTGCAGTTCAGCGTCTTAACCACTTGAGCCACCGCAGCTCCTAAGATGTGCTTAGGGTTTCCAAAATGAGCCCAGGCACAGTCAGGGAAGCTTCAGTCTCATTTTATTTTTTTTCTGGGCTGAAAAATAAATAGGTTTTTAAAAATGCAAAATAAAATAAATTCGCAAAAAATAAATTGCAAAATGCAAAAGAGTCAGAGATTCCCCCCTCCCTGACTCATGAGGAAGCCAGTAGATGAGGAAGAGGACTCAGCTCTCCCTTTTAAACACGGAAGAGGACTGAGTTCCTCCTTTTTAAATGCCACTCAGGCCGCAAGCAGTGAGCCTGTCCACAGCAGAGGAAGAGAACTCAGCTTGGCGGCGGTGGCACCAACTGCGCCTGCACCAACTGAGCCAGCCCGGGTCACATGACAGCAGGTCACATGGCTGGGCTGGCACAGGCGCAGTGAGGCCACCACTGCCAAGCTGAGTCCTCTTCCTCTGCTGCAGGTGGGCTCACTGTGCGCACTCTCTCTCTCTATTCAAAATGTTTAGCTGAACATGGTCTATGATTAAGAACAAGGAACACATCATGTTTGTGATATGCACACATCACACATCCCCAGTAATTTGGTAGTCCATTTGGGGCAACCGAATGTAAAAATCCTAAAGATCTATGAGGATCGGATGTGAGGGTGATCTGGCTGCGACAAATGTCACCCCATTGATTCCCAGGGTTGATTTGGCTGATCTGGCTGGCTAGGTGGGTGTCCCCTCCCTCGACGCTCCATGTGCATCCCTCCCGAAGCTGCGCGCTCACTTTAGTCAAGGGTAAGATCTATGAGGATCCATACTTTGGAACTATGTTTTTGCAACATGGCAAGAAGGACGAGAGGAAGAGGAAGAAGAGGAGGAAGAAGAGGAAGAGGAAGAAAAAGAGGAGGAGGAGGAGATTGGATTTATACCCCACTCTTCGCTCGGAGTCTCAGAGCGGCTTACAATCTCCTTCCCCTCCTCTCCCCACAACAGACATCCTGTGAGGTAGGTGGAGCAGAGAGAGCTCTGAAAGAACTGCTCTTGAGAAAACAGCTCTAATGGAACTGGCTTGCCCAAGGCCACCCAGAAGCTGCATGTGGAGTAGTGGGGAATCAAACCCCCAGTTCTCCAAGATTATAGAGTCTGCACTCCTAACCACTACATCAAACTGGTACTTGTGGATACATGATTTTTGTGGTTCCTGTGGCCATGGATATGATATGTAATTGGATGATAAATCCAAATTTAAAAATTGTGACCAAATGTAAAAATTTATTTATTTATTTATTTTTGGGATTTATATCCCGCCCCATCCAATATACAGCTCGGGGCAGCTAACAAACGGCCATGCCGAAGTTAAAATATGCATACAAACAACAGCATAATAAAAACACTATATCTTGACATAAAATTTGGTGCTTTGATAATTTACATAAAATCCAAGATGGGCGACGTCTCACACTGGCGGCCAAGTTCTTCACAGCGGGAGCGCCCGGAAGAATGTTTCCCTAGCTCTATTGGGCGACATCTATCCCCACTATGTGGGGTAGATGGTTGGAATATCATTGGTGGAATAGTGGCGGCGGATTGTGAGGATCTGTGCATTAGGGCAATGCTTTTCTACCATGGCAGTGCTACAAAGCAGTGGATGTCATTTTTCTGGTGTAATCTGTGGCCAAGGACATGATATGTGATTGGATAGTGAGTTCTGGGTTACCCAGTGCAAAAATCCTGAGGATCCATGAGGATCCTTGCTTTGGAACTGTGTTTTTGTACAGTGGCAGCTCCACAAATTGATCGATATGTGACTTTTGTTGTGCAAGCTGTGGCTGTGGGCATGATATGTGATGGTGACTTTGGGGTGACCCAGTACAAAAGATCCTGAGGATCCATGCCTAGGAACCACAATTTTGCACTGTGGCAGTGCCATGAAGCAGAGAATCTGTGATTTTTCTGGTATAATCTGTGGCTGTGGACATGATACGTGATATGATGGTGAGTTTGGGGTGACTCAATGCAAAAATCCTGAGGATCCATGCTTCAGAACCACATGTTTGTGTCATGGTGATGCCACAAAGTCATGGATCCGTGATTTTTGTGGTACAAGCTGTGGCCATGGACATGGTAGGTGATTGGATAATAAATCTGAGGTGACCAAAAGTACAAATCCTGAGGATCCATGAGGATCAATGCTTCAGAACCAAATTTGTGCACCATGCTGGCACCACAAAGCAGTTAATCCATTGTTTTAGTAGTGTGGTTTGGGGCTTTGGAAATGATATGTGATTTGATGGTGAGTTTGGGGTGACACAATATAAAAAATCTTTATGATCTGTGCTTCAGAACTACATTTTGTATTGTGCTGGCACCACTGATTTTTGTGGTGCTGTCTATAGACTGTGCGACTGAACAACTATAGACTAAGACATCATCTACAACCGGGATGTCAAACTCATTTGTTATCAGGGCCAGATCTGACATAAATGAGACCTTGTTGGGCCGGGCCATGTGTGTCATAAAATGTAATGCCAAGACATCAGGGCTCTTTTTGTAACAGGAACTCCTTTGCATATTAGGCAACACACCCCTAATGTAGCCAATCCTCCAAGAGCTTACAGTAGTCCCTGTAAGAACAGCGATTACGCAATCAGATGCGCCGGCGGCACACCACGGGTCCTTCCCTCAGCGCCGGCGGGTAAATGAGGGACCAGAGGGGAATGCCGCGCGCCAGCACAATCAAACCACGGGCGTCTGGAGGCAGCCCGTGGCAAACGTTTACTAGTACCTTGGAGGTACTAGTTTTTTAACGTGCATTGTCAGCGGTAAGCCACGGTATGCTCCACTTCCCAGATGTTGGGGTGTGATCGCGCCTGGATAATCCACCCACCATCCGTGCCTATCCCGCGGCAACTTTGCCATGTGACCGGGGCCTAAGTGATACAGCCAGTCCTGGCTCCATGCCGATAATCTCTGTGTTGATTAATAGTGTTAAACAACACTGAGAAGGCATTTAGAAGTTCCAACTCCAACATGATGCCGTTTCTATATCTAGGCTTGCACAGCCCTGTGCATATCTACTTATAAGTGCCACTATGCTCAACAGGGTCTTTTCCCCGGGAAAGTGTGCATAGGATAGCAGTTACCTCTTTTGCTTCTGTAAGGAGGAAACTTTTTTTAAGCAGAGAGGGAAATACGGGTGAAGTTTGTCACCCAGATAAGGTCACTGCAGCAAAAACTAACCAGGAGAGAAATAGTTTGTTCATTCTTTCTTGTATTCTATGTCTCCTACATAGCTTTCCCTTGCTGGAGCCATGGATTACAGCCGACCATTTGTTAAAAGTCTTGCTTAACAGTCCAAGACGGTAAAACGGGGGTGGGGGTGGGCAGGTGAGATGAAGATCCATTTAACATGATCTACATCCGACTTTCACCCAGTCCCCAGAGCTGGCAAAGCAACCCTAGCCACAGACGAAGCTTGTGTTTCTTTACAATAGTGATTTTTATTAACATTCAATTTTGATATATCGATTTTATTATGTAAACAGTTTCTTATTAGATGCTCGATTTAAACTCGTATGATTAAACAACTGTTATTTTTGTAATCCATTGATTTAAAGCCGTGCTTTATTACAGTAAAGACGTTGTTGGTGTAGAGGGCGATGGACAAAGACGGCAATGACCTCAGGCATCTGCGTGCTTCCCTGGGTAATAGAGTTATGGGTCGACAGCTCATTCTTCCCCTCTCGTCCTTATTTCTTGGTTTTGAGTTACTGTGAGCTCCCGTCTCTAGTTCCAGGCTCCAGCTCCTGCCAACCTAGCAGTTCGAAAGCAAGACATTGCAAGTAGATAAACAGGTACCACTTCATTGGGAAGGTAACAGCATACCGTGCGCCTTGGTGTTTAGTCATGCCGGCCACATCACCACGGAAACGTCTTCGGACAGCGCTGGCTCTTCGCCTTTGAAACGGAGACGAGCACCGCAACCCTAGAGTCGGATTCGACTGGCTTTCGAGCAAGGGAACCTAAGAGTCGCCCGAAGAAAATCGTGCGCAGGCGCACTTCCACTTCGTATACCGGCTGATGGCAGAAATGGGGAGCTGGCGCCTGCGTATGACAGCGTTGGTTTTCTAACTGCGGCCTTTTAAAAAGAAAGGCTTCTTCAGCGGCACCGCCTTTCAGTGATGTCAGCCCGGCGTCACTAAATTCGCGTCGTTGCAGCGGGATGGTGCGCATTAGAGGAGGGAGGAAGATCTATGAGTCCGACGGTAACATTACGATCCCAACTACGGAATAGGCCGGGGAAGGCTGTTCCTTACTTCGGAAGGTGAGGCGCGCATGCGCTTGGGAAGGTCGTGGTACCAGGAGCCTGAACAGGAGGAAGTGAGATTCGTTGCCGCTAAGCAAGTAGGTTCTTCTCGGTGGGTGGAATGGAAAATAGTTGCGGTACATTGGAGAGTGCTGAGAATTTCTCTCCTACATCACCTAATCACTCTTAACTCCTTAATGCAGGAGTTAGCCAGTTGTAGCCCGACTCTGTGTACGTTTATTCCAGAGTAAGAAATAAATATGCTTTGGATCACAGCCCTAGAATGGTGCCTTGAAGTCAGCGAAGTACTGCAGAATCCTTTTCTCTTTTCCTGGATAAGAATCCTTTGGATCACCTGTTCATAGCGGCATTCTCACGAAACGGGGCAGGAGGAAACACCTCACTTCCTACAGTCTCCTTGCTCTGCAGTTTCTGACACATATTTCTTAATTCGGATTAAGAAACTGAAAGCCAACAGTTTCCCTATTAAGGGGGCCTGGTGTTCCTCGATGTAAATGTCTACTTTTCCAATTGCTGTATTTCTACTTTATGCAAAACCAGATTTGCTGAGTGGGTGCCTCTCAAATTGTTGTTAATGGTGGTGAACAGCCTGATGTAACAAGAAAAGATGGCAGCCCTAGTTATAACCATATTTTGACCTTTACACCTCATCACGTTTCTCTTAGTAGATTTTGTTCATTGTGGCACTGTCCAGACTATGATGAATGACTACCTACCTGTCCCTAGTGGTGGAATGTAAGTGGGATCCCTGTTAGTTAGTATCAAGGATGGAGGGGAACGTTTTGTCCTCACTGAAAATCATTGTATTTTACTACTTACCACAGGAGTAAGTGGCGGCTATTCAGTAAAAGGACAGGAAGGATAAGGGAGCATTTCGGGATGCCAAATCCTGCTTTTAGTGATCCCAGAAACTGAAAATTGGCCCTGAGATCTAAGTCTGCTCTTGAATCCAGTGTCCTATCCCGAACACATGGATATATTGGATTGCCATACATGTATGTCTGAGATAGGTTTTCAGAGTCTCCTATTTGCCGTCCTCCCATTTATACCCTGCTTATAATGTTTCCTCATTAAGTTCTGTGTTCTTCCAAACATATTTTTAACTGTTTGCTTTGGGTTGGCAGGTAGCTCAAAAATGGAAGACTCCTTTATGGATGAAGAAGAGGATTGCCCAGAATTGATTCCCATAAAGGAGCAGGAAATTAAGGACAGTGCAAGGAGAGATGTTCAACTCAGTGAGGCTGATAAGATTCCTGTTACTATTATCACTGGATATTTAGGTAATGTTGTAATCATAAATGGTCACTATAAGCATCAAAGTAACTCTGTTCCTTAGTTGTTGTATATTTTCTGGGCTGTATGGCTGTGGTCTTGGGATTGTAGGACCTGACGTTTCGCCAGCAGCTGTGACTGGCATCCTCAGAGGTATAACATAGAAAGATGGAGTACTCTCTGTGTCAAGGTGAGAAGAAAAATGGTAGGCAGGTAATTTGTATCTACTCAGGAAAGTGGGGTAGGGCTGCATCATTATCTTGTAGGAGTTTCCGAGGCTGTGACATGCTAATGGAGGAGCTTTCCTGAGGAGGTTCCTTTGCATATGGGTAGGCTGTTGAAATTCTAATCTTATCTGTAGTGCTATTGTAAATTGTGCACTGCAGTTGTGGACAGGTTTACATTGGGACCACACAGCGTAGCATTCAGACAAGAATAAAAGAACATGAAAGACACTGCAGACTGGGCCAACCTGAAAAATCAGCAGTGGCAGAACATAGCCTAACTCAAACAGGACATAATATCTTATTCCAAGACACTGAAAGGCTGGACAAGGAAAGAAGAGAGTTTAAAAATAAATAGGGCATGGTTTCCTGTCCTGAAAAACACAAAATGCTCTACATCTTACAACTGGTTCAGAACTGGATATAATGCTGGTGATTAAACACTTTTTGGTAGGGGAGTATGCTCCAAGTGCATTATAATTTGTTTTCTTGTTTTGAAGTTGATCTTGTTTCACATAGCTAATAAGATGTGCTGTCATACTACTTCTAGTGTTTTACTGTCTTCTGTTGTTTTTAAACTCACCATAAAGTTGAAAGCCGAAAGAAAATCATGAGAGTTGTTTGTTTAGTTCATTATGCATAATTAAATTAATTTAGTCTAGTGTTTAGTCATGCCAGCCACATGACCACGGAAACGTCTTTGGACAGCGCTGGCTCTTCGGCTTTGAAACGGATATGAACCCCGCAACCCTAGAGTCGGATTCGACTGGCTTTCGAGCAAGGGAACCTTTACCTTTTCAGTCATTCTTTATAATTGAATGAACTAGTCTCGCTTTGTATTATAATACAGACATTCATACTGATAGAATAACAACAATAAAAGCACTGGATGTTCAAATCACATAATAAAACTAAAAGACATATAAATACTTCATAAACAATATTTGTGTCACTGGAAAACACGTGGTGTCTCAAAACTTTGAGGAGTAACACAGGGTTCGTTGCAATGTAAAATGCAATAATTGTGAATGGTTCAATATGCTAAGAAAATCCTAAAAATACAGTTTGAAAATGTGTTCTTACTTATATATTTCTCAAAATTATTTGTTCCTTTTTATATAGCATAATGAATTATTTAGCAAATGAAGTTCATTTTTTTAGGAGCAGGAAAAACCACTCTTCTCAACTATATTCTGACAGAACAACATAACAAGAGAATAGCTGTTATCCTGAATGAGTTTGGTGAAGGTATGTAAAAACAGAAACGTAAAAACAAAAAAACCTGAATGAGCAACACTATAGTTTATACCCAGAATTAAACTTTGTTGGTTTTAAGGGAGTGGACTCAAACTTTGTTCTAGTGATCTTCAGCCCAGGGCCCACCGAGCTGCACCAAATGGATTGGATGTCACATGATATTGGAGTCATCTGACAGGAAAAGAGGAGCAGCATTATTATCTTACCAGTGTCAAGACTAGGATGTTAGGTAGAAGGCCAAGAGAGCCATGGATGGAAAACATCAACCAAGTACTCAGAGGTGAAGAGTAAGCCTAGTATAGTGAAGAGTAAGCCTAGGTTCAGAGCCATGGAAGAATAAAAAATCACAGGATAAAAGGGCAAGTCCTTTTGTGGGTCAAAAACTGGCTAATTAATAGGCAACAGAGAGTGAGTATAAATAGGAAATTTTCTCAGTGGAGGGTGGTAAGCAGTGCAGTACCACAGGGATCAGTACTCAGTCCGATGCTTTTTAACTTGTTCATTAATGATTTGGAGTTGGGAGTAAGCAGTGAAGTGGCTAAATTTGCGGATGATACAAAGTTGTTCAGGGTGATGAAAACCAGGGAGGATTGTGAGGCACTCCAGAGGGATCTATTGAGGATGGGCGAGTGGGTGTCAATGTGGCAAATGGGGTTCAGTGTGGCCAAGTGCAATGTGATGCACATTGGAGCCAAAAATCCTAAATATAAATACACATTGATGGGGTCCGAACTGGCAGAGACTGACCAAGAGAGAGATCTTGGAATTGTAGTAGATAACTCACTGAAGATGTCGAGACAGTGTGCGACTGCAATGAAAAAGGCCAATGCTATGCTGGGGTTTATTAGGAAGGGTATTGAAAACAGATCAGCCAATATCATAATGACCCTATATAAATCAATAGTGCCACCTCATTTGGAATACTGTGTGCAGTTCTGGTCACCACACCTCAAAAAGGATCTTATAGCATTGGGAAAAGTGCAGAAAAGGGCAACTAGAATGATAAAAGGGTTGGAACACTTTCCCTATGAAGAAAGGTTAAAGTGCTTGGGGCTCTTTAGCTTGGAGAAACGACGGCTGAGGGGTGACATGATCAAGATTTATAAGATTATGCATGGGATAGAGCAGGAAGAGAAAGAAGTACTTTTCTCCCTTTCTCACAATACAAGTACTCGTGGGCACTCAAATAAAATCGCTGAGCAGTCAGGTTAGAACAGATAAAAGGAAGTACTTCTTCACCCAAAGAGTGATTAACACATGGAATTCACTGCCACAGGAGGTGGTGGCAGCTACAAGCATGGACGGCTTCAAGAGGGAATTAGATAAGCATATGGAGCAGAGGTCCATCAGTGGCTATTAGCCACAAGGTATAGCTAGGGACTCTGGGGCAAGTGATGCTCTGTCTTCTTGGTGCTTGGGGGGGGGGTCAACAGTGGGAGGGCTTCTGGTGTCCTGGCCCCACTGCTGGACCTCCTGATGGCACCTGGTATTTTTGGCCACTGTGTGACAGAGTGTTGGACTGGGTGGGCTATTGGCCTGATCCAACACTGGCTTCTCTTATGTTCTTAATTCCCTCCCTCAGAGTGACTCTTACCTGATGCAGTTCTTAGCATGTGTACGAAGAGAGGCAGGAGGAATGGCATTCTTGCTCTCTATGTGTATACAGTAGCCACAGTTTTTCCAAAAGGTAGCCAAAAGCTCCCCAGTCTTAAGAGTATCAAACACCAGTTTCTACTTCTATATAATGGCTATTGGAGGACACCAACAAAGCAACTGTGTGTTCTTTGGTATGTGACTGATTTGGTGCTGTTTGCTTAGATTATGTCTCAGTCCTCATCTGGGAGGCTGTTTTTGCAAAACTGTACTTGTAAGGATGCACTGCTGAATTTTCCAGTTGTCTGTGTTAGGGTTTACGTTTTTGTCGGGCATCCTAATCCAGACTGGGTTTTTCCTACAAAATGAGAAGCAAAATCAAGCATTACCAAAGTTATCCTTCTGTCTAGTAGGACTAGGATCTGGGAGACCCAGGTTTGAATCCCCACTCTGGCATGGAAGCTTGCTGGGAGACCTTCAGCCAGTCACATGTTCTCAGCCTAACCCACCTTGCCTGGTTATTGTGAGAGTAAAATGGAGAGGATGATGTTGAAAGCGGCTTTGAGTCTCCATTGGGAAGTATAAATGAAGTAAACATGCCTCTTTTGTCTGTTAGTTCTTGATGTCAGTTAGTTCTTGTCAGCAAATTGTAATGACTGAAATACAGGTGTTAGCTACAAAGTTCTGTGCTTGAAGCAGAGTTTGGTCTTAGGCTAAGAACTATTCAGCCTGCCCTGGAAATTCAGCTAAAGGTATAAAGTCTTGAATTGAAAGGGATCTGATTCTCTTGAAGATCAGTTGATGAGCTCTTTTGACTACATCACACCTGTGGAGCATAAACGGTCTAATCTAAACACGCACACCCTTTTTTATCAATGAAATTCCTAGTATAAGACTGAGTTTTACTGTTACATTCTTGTTTTCAGGAAGTGCATTGGAAAAATCTTTGGCTGTAAGTCAAGGTGGAGAACTCTATGAAGAATGGCTGGAGCTCAGAAACGGTTGCCTCTGCTGTTCTGTAAAGTAAGTAATTTTTTAAAATGTAAAACTGGCCTTTGTACATTAATTATCATGGTTTCCATTTTGCCGGATCATCCTGGCAGAGGCCAATAAATATAACAAAAATTAGAAAAAGAAAACAAAGAAACATTTACTTTGAATGTGTTTTCTGTTGTCGTCGTGGTAGAGGTGGTGGTGATGATGGTGAAAATGACTGGTTGGCTAGCTCAGTAAAAACTTTGCATAATGTGTTGGATGAAATTAAGTCATTTGGGGATCTGAAGTTGCATCATCTTCCTTAGGATTACCATTGAAAAATGACCTTTCTTTTGATTATAATTGAAATGAATATTCTGGAGAAGATGCAAGAAAACAGAGATTGTATTGGTCTTATGGAAGCAGAATCTTAAAATTGAATTCTGTTCAAAAAGGTTTGTGGTTCAAAGTTAGAGGGGAAGTCAATAAAAAAACACTAATATGCATGTAAATATTGCCATGTAACCTTTTGGTATAGGGATTTTAAAAGTTTGTGTGTGATTGAGTTTGTCTGGGATATTGCCAACATATAAATAAAAAACAAAGCTGGTTGGATCCAGTGATACCTCTGTGGAAGGTGCCATCATGGATCTTCTCTGTTCACTGCCCCTCATCCTTTCTTACTCTTGGAAGAGGTACTCCCAGGGTCATGGCGGCCACGTAGACTAATGATCAAGTAAGTTGGGAGGCTGTAGTGGGGAGGGAAAGGGAACAAAGCTGCCCTTCTTGCCGCTTCCAACAGCAGACCTCTGCTGAACAGAAGAGGAAGAAGGGAGTGACTTCTTCCCCCTTCCCTCTCCTCACTGCAGGCCATCAACTCACATGGCTGTCATTCCATACAGGTCCTGCAACCTCAGGAATCGACTGTCCCACAGTCAGAAATGACTGTTGGGGAAAGATTTACAGTCCTCGTGCAGGTTCCAACCCATCTTTGTAATTTTAAAGCATGTTTCTCTTTTATACAGGGACAATGGCTTGAAGGCTATTGAGAATCTAATGCATAAGAAAGGAAAGTTTGACTATATTCTGCTAGAGACAACTGGTTTGGCTGATCCAGGTAGGTATAATTAGGGGTATGACATTACTTATATAATGTACGTATAGGGGGGGAAAGTATAAAAGGTACAGAAAGGGAGAAAAGGGTTACCTAACATAATTATATGTATGATTATATATAACAATGTATAAAAGACACAAAATATTTCTCCCCAACACCCCCTTCGTTAGATTGAAACATTTTTGGGACTTTGTCTATAGCATACAAATGGTGTGGCCTTTATAGTCAACAAGAGAGTGCAAAAGTCAGGAGTAGGATACAATCTCAAAAATGACAGAATGATTTCGGTCTGATTCCAAGGCAAACCACTCAACATCACAGTAATCCAAGTCTGTGCCCCAACCACTGATGCAGAAGAGGCTGAAGTGGACCGGTTCTATGAAGACCTACAACACCTCCTACAACTAACACCAAAAAATGATGTCCTCATCATCATAGGGGACTGGAATGCTAAAGTAGGAAGTCAAAAGGTAACCGGAATAACAGACAAGTTTGGCCTTGGAAAGCAAAATGAAGCAGGGCAAAGGTTAACAGAGTTTTGTCAAGAGAACACACTGGTCATAGCAAACACCCTTTTCCAACAACCAAAGAGGGGACTCTACACATGGACATCACCAGATGGGCAACACCAAAATCAGATTGACTATATAATTTGCAGTCAAAGATGGAGAAGCTCTATCCAGTCAATAAAAGCAAGACCTGGAGCTGACTGTGGTTCAGATCATGAGCTACTCATTGCAAAATTCAGACTTAAACTGAAGAAAATTGGGAAAACCACGAGGCCATTCAGGTTTGACCTAGATCGCATCCCTGATGAATATACAGTAAAGGTGACGAATAGATTCAAGGGCATAGATTTGATAGAGTGCCTGAAGAACTATGGACGGAGGTTCGTGACATTGTACAGGAGGCAGCAATCACCACCATCCCAAAGAAAAAGAAATGCAAGAAAGCAAAGTGGCTTTCTGATGAGGCTTTACAAATAGCAGAGGAAAGAAGGAAAGCGAAAGGCAAAGGCGAAAAGGAAAGATTTACCCAACTGAATGCAGATTTCCAGAGAACAGCAAGGAGAGATAAGGAGGTCAAGAAATTAATGAAATGACTTCCAAAGAAGACTGCATGAGTAAGCCTTTATGAAATGAACTTTTTATGAGAAAGAACAAGAAGTGTAACAGTATGCTTGGAGGGAGGAATGGAGAAGGGGAATTGGACCAACATAATACATTTTTTAAAAAAGAAAACAAAACCACAAACAGGATACAGACATATTAAAAAAGCAACACTGACCTAACAGTGGAATGTGAACTATATTTGACCTAAACCACGTCACATCCACTACTCTTCCCCACAGTGAAATGTTGGTAGCTCTTAAAGAAGCAAAATAGACACACAGCGGTCATCTAATCATGTTTTTATTTTCCACAAAGCATGCTGTTTTGATTGTACAAGACTGTCTCGTTCAAGCCGCTTCTCCTGCATTATGGGGGGCAAAGCCTGAAGGGTGGGGGGGGGGGGCAATGCCTCCTACAGAATGCTGTGACATTTTATAAATATCTAACATAATCCATACCACAAAGGTTCAAAGACTAGAAGAATAGAAACAGACAGTTCTCCACCTGTTGCTTTGATTTGCTGTGGAGCATTGAACAATACTAGGTAAATAAGTTGTAAGTAGCTGGAAGATAGAACTCAGACTTCAGCAATATTCATAACTAAAACAGTAACATTCCCCAGTTGCAAAACGTGGGTGCATATGCAGACAATTACAACTCATATTTGCTAGCTGGTAAATATCTATTTGGCTTAAGGATATACCTGTTCCTGTGTAGTGTAAGTTTTCAGATTTCTACATCAAGACTCTGACTAAAACATAAATCTAACCTTTTGGTTATTTGGTACTCATTATGGCCAATTTTCCCCCTCATGGATCACTGCCTTGTCGTGGCGAGGGGGCTTGTGCAGTTCAATGAAGCTGTGGGCTATGCCGTGAAGGGCCACCCAAGACGGACAGGCCACAGCAGAGAACTCAGACCAAGCGTGATCCACCTGGAGAAGGAAATGGCAACCCACTCCAGTATTTTTGCCAAGAAAACCCCATGGACAGTATCAAAAGGCTAAAAGATATGACGCCGGAAGATGAGCCCCTCAGGTCGGAAGGTGTCCAATATGCTACTGAGGAAGAGCAGAGGACAAGTACAAGTAACCCCAGAAAGAGTGAAGCGGCTGGGCCAAAGCCGAAAGGACGCTCAGTTGTGGATGTGTCTGATGGTGAAAGGAAAGTCCAATGCTGCAAAGAACAATACTACATAGGAACCTGGAATGTAAGATCTATGAATCAAGGTAAGCTTGACGTGGTCAAAAATGAGATGGCAAGACTGAACATCGATATCCTAGGAATCAGTGAACTAAAGTGGACAGGAATGGGCGAATTTAACTCAGAAGACCATTATATCTACTACTGTGGCCAGGAATCTCGTAGAAAAAATGGTGTGGCCTTTATAGTCAACAAGAGAGTGCAAAAGGCAGTACTGGGATACAATCTCAAAAATGACAGAATGATTTCTGTCCGATTCCAAGGCAAACCATTCAACATCACAGTAATTCAAGTGTATGCCCCAACCACTGATGCAGAAGAGGCTGAAGTGGACCGGTTCTATGAAGACCTACAACACCTCCTAGAACTAACACCAAAAAATGATGTCCTCATCATCATAGGGGACTGGAATGCTAAAGTAGGAAGTGAAAAGGTAACTGGAATAACAGACAAGTTTGGCCTTGGAAAGCAAAATGAAGCAGGGCAAAGGTTAACAGAGTTTTGTCAAGAGAACACACTGGTCATAGCGAACACCCTTTTCCAACAACCTAAGAGGCGACTCTACACATGGACATCACCAGATGGGCAACACCGAAATCAGATTGACTATATAATTTGCAGTCAAAGATGGAGAAGCTCTATCCAGTCAGTAAAAACAAGACCTGGAGCTGACTGTGGTTCAGATCATGAGCTACTCATTGCAAAATTCAGACTTAAACTGAAGAAAATCGGGAAAACCATGAGGCCATTCAGGTTTGACCTAGATCACATCCCTGATGAATATACAGTAGAGGTGAAGAATAGATTCAAGGGTCTGGATTTGATAGATAGAGTGCCTGAAGAACTATGGACGGAGGTTCGTGACATTGTACAGGAGGCAGCAATCACCACCATCCCAAAGAAAAAGAAATGTAAGAAAGCAAAGTGGCTTTCTGATGAGGCTTTACAAATAGCAGAGGAAAGAAGGAAAGCGAAAGGCAAAGGCGAAAAGGAAAGATTTACCCAACTGAACGCAGATTTCCAGAGAACAGCAAGGAGAGATAAGGAGGCCTTCCTGAATGAACAGTGCAAAGTAATAGAAGAAAACAATAGAATGGGAAGGACTAGAGATCTCTTCAAGAAAGTTGGAGAAATCAAGGGAGCGTTCCATGCAAAGCTGGCCATGATAAAGGACAAAAACGGTAGGGACCTAACAGAAGCAGAAGAGATTAGGAAAAGATGGCAAGAATACACAGAAGAACTATACAAGAAAGACCTCGATGTCCTTGACAACCACGACGGTATAATCACTGACCTCGAGCCAGACATCCTGGAATGTGAAGTTAAATGGGCCTTAGAAAGCATTGCTAACAACAAAGCTAGTGGAGGTGATGGTATTCCAGTTGAGCTATTCAAAGTCTTAGAAGATGATGCTGTTAAAGTTCTGCACTCCATTTGCCAGCAAATTTGGATAACGCAACAGTGGCCACAGGATTGGAAAAGGTCAGTATACATTCCAATCCCAAAGAAGGGCAATGCCAAGGAATGTTCAAACTATCGCACAATTGCACTCATATCACACGCTAGCAAGGTCATGCTCAAGATCCTACAAGCTAGGCTTCAACAGTACGTGGATAGAGAACTGCCAGAAGTACAAGCTGGGTTTCGAAGAGGTAGAGGAACTAGAGATCAAATTGCCAACATTCGCTGGATTATGGAGAAAGCAAGAGAGTACCAGAAAAATATCTACTTCTGCTTCATTGACTATGCTAAAGCTTTTGACTGTGTGGATCACAACAAACTATGGCAGGTCCTTAAAGAGATGGGAGTACCAGACCACCTCACATGTCTCTTGAGAAACCTGTATAAGGGCCAAGAAGCGACAGTTAGAACCGGATATGGAACAACTGATTGGTTCAGCATAGGAAAAGGAGTACGACAAGGATGTATATTGTCACCTTGCTTATTTAATATATATGCAGAGTACATCATGTGAAATGCTGGCCTGGATGAATCACAAGTGGGAATGGAGATTGCTGGGAAAAAGATCAACCTCAGATATGCAGACGATACCACTCTAATGGCAGAAAGTGAAGAGGACCTCAAGAGCCTCTTGCTCAGGATAAAAGAGGAGAGCGCAAAAGTGGGCTTGAAGCTCAACATCAAAAAAACTAAGATCATGGCATCCAGCCGCATCACTCCTTGGCAAATAGAAGGGGAAGTCGTGGAAGTAGTGACAGACTTTACGTTCCTGGGATCCCAGATCACCACAGACTGTGACAGCAGCCATGAAATTAAAAGACACCTGCTCCTTGGGAGGAAAGCGATGGCGAACCTAAACAGCATGATAAAAAGTAGAGACATCTCCCTGCCAACAAAAGTCCGCATGGTCAAAGCAATGGTATTCCCAGTAGTCATGTATGGCTGCGAGAGTTGGACTATAAGGAAGGCTGAGCGCCGAAGAATAGATTCTTTTGAACTATGGTGCTGGAGAAGACTCTTGAGAGTCCCTTGGACTGGAAGAAGATCAAATCAGTCAATCCTAAAAGAAATCAACCCTGACTGTTCCCTGGAAGGCCAGATAATGAAACTGAAGCTCAAATACTTTGGCCACTGTCCTGCCGCGGGCTCCTCCGCGGCCGTACAGGCACCACCTGCGCCAAGCTCCCCGCAAATCCCCATGATGAATGGTGGGCTGGGAACCTCCCGATACCCCAAACCCCTCCCTCAGCTACCACCCTGGCGGGAGAAATCCGGATCGATAGAGGTTGGGGGAACGGAATGGCAAGGGGCACGTTGGGAATGGGCTGAGACGCGAAGAGGGGAGAGTGTGGTTGCGAGAGCGAGACAGGTGGCAGGTTCCACCCTTACCCCTGAGAAGTGCTGGAGTCGGGGACGCCGGCGTTGGCCCTTCACACACACCAGAAGTAGTTTCTCCTTCACCCAAACATCCTTAGTTATACAGGGAGGTAGGACTAAGGAACAGGAAGTAACAGGGGATAGGAGATCACGGTGAAGGGCAGGTGATGTAGCCTATCGGATTAGTAATCACCAGAAGGGAATGGTCCAGAGGGGGGAGAGGGACTATATAAAGGTGGAAACGGAAGAGTGCCAGGGAGGAATTGAGGGCGACCTCGGAGGCAACAGAGAGAGCGAAAAGAGGTCGGTCTGGGGAAGGCAGCTGGGTGTGATGTAACCCCAGCCCTTCTCAATCTGAGGCGCTCGTTTCCTCCCATACCTACAATACGGCTTCCGCGGTTTCAAGATCAGGGGCCGACTCGGAGTGTGACAGCCACCAAATGAGAAGGGAGCACTCACTGGAGAAGACCCTGATGCTGGGAAAGATTGAAGGTCAAAGAAGACGGGAATGGCAAAGGATGAGATGGTTAGACAGTGTCATAGATGCAACGAACATGAGATTGAGTGAACTTCAGAGCACGACGGAAAACCAGAAGGCCGGTGTGATCTGGTCCATGGGGTTGCAAAGAGTCTGACTCGACTGTGCGACTGAACAACAACAATACAATGATATATACTTCTGATGGGGGAAATTTATATTTATCATTTTATATTTTCAACGTCATATCTAGTCTATTTTGTAGCTACATTTTCCTCCCACTTTCCTGAAAATTTGGGCAGTGGAAAATACTTATGAAATATTTCTTTTGTGATGATTTAAATGCTTTTAAAGACAAAGTGTTAGTCACTGGAAACACATAGCATGAAGATTTTTTTGTAGAATAATCTATAGTGTAGTTAGAGAATAACTCCAATATGCAATTACTTTTTCCCACGATTACTATGCTATAATGTGTATAATATAATGTGTTGAAGACTTCATAGTTTTCAATGTTGTAAAATGTCTTAATGTCCAGATATGCTGTTGATCCTATTGTGACTGTATGGGACTGTTTACCACAACAATTTGTGTTTTCTGTTTTCAACTTTTGTTGTTTCTTGTCTGTCAAATGGAAAAACCTAAAGATATATGTGCTACGTAACATAAGATGCAGCAGTTTGCAGCTCTCCTTAATACTGAGTGTTTTGCTCAAGGCTATCACCACATGAGGAGTGATAAATATTGAATGTATTGATAATATTGCTTGTGAAAAAACCAGAATTACATCATTCTAGATGCGTTGACTTCAATGGACTTAAAACAGTGTATCTCTTCTTGCGCTGTTTGACATGAATATTTTTCAAATTCATAAATATGTCAAGTAGTATTGTTAAATATGCTAGCTAAGTTATAATGTTGTTAAAAGCAGTAAAACGAGTGTAGGTTTGTTAAGGAAGTATCACATAATTTTTCCAATTTTTTTCTTGTTTTTTTTTTGGAGGGGTAATCAATATTTCCAGAAATTTAATCTCTACTTAAGTGCAATCAGCCTGTTATAATACAGTTAAATTGCCATTGGATATGCATAATAATAATAATAATAATAATAATAATAATAATAATTTTTTTTTTTAATAATAATAATAATATGCTTATAAATAATAAAACCAACACATAGAGTTCAATGAACAAAAGCTGTCTAAAAATATTTCCTGGATCCTTTTAATTAAATTTCTGTTGGCTAAGAGGTGAGGAGAATTCCTTTTGGCAATTCAGTTGTTTCCTGTTAAGGAGACTGATGCTCTCCGGTTCAAAGCTAAATAATTGTCATGGTAAAGTAATTTTCTTTAAAAGAAAGGAGTGTTACACACCAGTCCTATTTCAGTTAACTTGAAAAACTATTAAGGCATTTCTTTGGGGGGTGGGTGGGCAGAATCAATAAATGCCTTGAAACGATTAGATTTTGTGGCCTTTTCTATATCTTGCATGAGTAATCACTATAAACAGCTGACAGGTATTTCTGTTTTGACACCCAGCAGTGCTTGGGAAATCACATCTTGTCAGTTCAGGTAGACAGTTTCAGACATCGGAACGGCTGCAGTTATCATTGTTTTTGCCTATGGATGTCATTCTTTTGGACAGCCCAGACATCAATGAGATTTGTGAGCCTTTGAAAAATAAAATACTTTAATAGCTGCCAGTTTCTCACATCCTTCTTGTTGTGGTATTTGTACATGTTAAATCAGCTCATGTCAAAACTAATTTTCTTATTTTTCAAAATATAACATCCTGCAGAAGCTTGGCTTTTGTATTACTTTTCAGTGATAACAGTATTATTTTTTTCTGCATCAATTGAAGGTAAAGACTACCGCTAGAAAGCAAATAAAATATTATAATTATCTCACAGTATTTTTTTCATGATCGTTCTTTTGAAAGATTTACTCCAATGTAGTTTTAGGTATTGTAATTATGATAAATAGTATAGTGTCTGTGTTGCTTAAAAATGCTAGCAAATGAATTTTCTTCTCATACTGATGGGTGGATTTAATTCTGTGTGGAACTTTAGTGAGATCCTTGGGATTAATCCCAAAAGTTTCACTCCTGTTGAAACTGGGGCTGTTTTCAGTGCAGTAACAGTGTGCCTGTAGCATTTGCCAGAAGTTTTCAGTATAGACAATACAAGTCAAGTATTTTCCCCATTTTCTCATGGTAAACAGCTAAATATATCTGTAGGATTCCTGTTTTTTGCTTTTGTTTTAAATTTCAAGAACATCGAAAATTGCAACATTGTAACTGATTGTTTTAAAAATTTGCTTGATATGACTTATAAATATCCTATATTTTATTTGCTAGGTGCTGTTGCCTCCATGTTCTGGGTTGATGCTGAATTAGGGAGTGACATTTATCTTGATGGTAAGAAAAATCTTCTGGTTTAGATGTATATTTGTGTGCTTACCACAAGTTTAATAAAGTTAAACAGGGTAATGTATGCTACTGAATTCAAATTATAGTCATGAATGTGGGTAAATACACCAGGTGATATTGATTAAAGAGTAGTAATGGATTCTCCAGACTCTAACTAGGACAATGGGAAAAACAATATAAGCTCACCAAAGAAAACCACCGTTATGTGACTTTAACACACTTGGTTGTACTCCTTATAATGTTTATAGTGCAGATTTCTTAATAATCATCCTTATGTAAAGTACATGCCATAAACATAGAAAAAGCCAATAGATAAAGGTGTGAGTACAATACAAAGGTAAAGGTAAAGGTTCCCTTGCTCGAAAGCCAGTCGAATCCGACTCTAGGGTTGCGGTGCTTATCTCCGTTTCAAAGCCGAAGAGCCAGCACTGTCCGAAGACATTTCTGTGGTCATGTGGCCGGCATGACTAAACACCAAGGCGGACGGAACGCTGTTACCTTCCTACTTGCAATTTCTTGCTTTCAAACTACTAGGTTGGCAGGAGCTGGAACTAGAGACGGGAGCTCACTCCGTCATGTGGCATCCGGGTCTTGAACTACTGAACTACTGACCTTCCACAATACAAAAGCTTGATGCAAACGTTCTGGACACTGTTTAGGCTGTGTTCCTGGAATGTTTTCTCTTCAAGCCATCTTGATAGAGCTATGAAGTGGAAAAGTAGACTAAAAAGTCTTTGTTTTTCAAGCTCCTGAATAGCATTAATCACTCCTTCCTTTAAAGATGTATGAATCCAAGGAATACAAGACATTAGAGAGTTGTTGCATTGATCCACATTATTATCATTCTTGCAGTGCTCCATCAAGAGATTGGTGATGAACACCAACAGAGAGATAGAGTTGAAGATATTCAAAACCGCTTGTTAATCCTAGGAAAGCGTGTTCTCTTTATCTCTTGTATTCCTTGGATTTACACATCTTTAAAGGAAGGCGTGATTAATGCTATTCAGGAGCTTGAAAAACAAAGACTTTTTAGTCTAATTTTCCACTTCATAGCTCTATCGAGACGCCTTGAAGAGGAAAGGTTCCAGGAACACAGCCTAAACCAGTGATGTCAAACATGTGACCCAGGGGCCAGATCAGGCCCCCAGAGGGCTTCTATCAGGCCCGCAGTGGAACTGGCTGTCTTCTGCTTCTTCTTCCAGTTCTGCTGCTGCGTCATCATAGGTTTGCAGCTTACAGATACACACCTGAACAGCATACTCAAGATTGCAACAGCACAGACATTTTGATGCAATACTTCAGAGCAAGGGGTGTCAGTTATCAGACACTGTTAAATAAACAAAAAATAGCATGTTTTAGGCTTGTTTTGATTTTAAGTTTAAAAAAAAACTTTCTGTTTGTGTCCTTTATAAAGTTTATATCTCCGCTACCTGGCATTACATTTTATGACACACATGGCCCAGCCCAACAAGTTCTCATTTATGTCAAATCCGGCCCTCATAACAAATGAGCTCGACACCCCTGGCCTAAACAGTGTCCAGAACATTTGCATCAAGCTTTTGTATTGTACTCACACCTTTTATCTACTGGCTTTGTCTATGTTTATGGCATGTACTTTACATAAGGATGATTGTTAAGAAACCTGTACTATAAACATAAGGAGTACAACCAAGTGTGTTAAAGTCTTAGAATGGTGGTTTTCTTTGGTGAGCTTATTTTGTTTTTCCCATTGTGTTCACACCGAAGCATGTCTTGTTTCTGAGTAGGACAAAGCAAGTGTGGCCTGTGTTTTCAAGTATACGTCAGTCAAAACTTGTTCATCTATATATCTTTTTTTCAGGTATTGTCTCTGTTGTTGATGCAAAGTATGGACTACAGGTAAAATAATTTGCCAATGGCCATTAAACAACATAGAAAAGTACTGTATATAATCCATCATTTAGAGCAGGGGTGTCAAACATAAGGCCCGGGGGCCGGATCTGGCCCATACAGAGCTCTTATGTGGCCCGCACGCTATTGTGGCTTTAGTATGGCAAAACAAGCTTGACTGCAGCAGTTAAGCATTATGGGAGCATCTGCCCAGTGCTGCACTCCTGCCTCTCCAGTCCACCCAGATGGGTTTTCCTCTGCTCCCCCCTCCCAGCCCAGGGGGCCTTGCAGTGAGGATACACCAACTCTGAGATCACCAACTGCTGTCATTTATACAGTTTCTACCTCTGGTACCTGGCATTAGGTTTTATGACAAACGTGGCCCGGCCTGACAAAGAGACATTTATGTCAGATCCGGCCCTTGTAACAAATGAGTTTGACACCTTTGATTTAGAGAGCAAATCTCCTCAGAATCCTACTGAACTGGGGATTCAGTGGGGCACACTCCCAGGGAAGTATTCTTATAACTGCACTGTTAGTATTCTGGCATGTTTTGTTAGGTGTAACTCTGAATTCTCTCGTAACATAACCTTCCATATCTACTATGTCCTGGAGTTTGCCGCTGTCTTCCATTATGGAACTTTCAACTTCTATTTTCTGGTTTGATGTCTTTTTCAAATTACGCAGGAATTTTTAAAAAATGGATTTGATTCTTCATTCTTGGGTTACAGCAAATGTTGTGGCTCAGTGGCAGAGCATCTACTTGGCATGCAGAAGGTCTCAGGTTCAATCCCCAGTATCCCTAGCTAAGGATCAGGGAGTAAGTGATTTGAAAGACCTCTACCTGAGACCCTGGAGAGCCTCTATTAGTCTGAGTAGACAATACTGACCTTGATGGACCAAGAGTGTGATTCAGTTTAAGGCAGCTTCATGTGTGTTTCCCATATTACCTCATCCAGTAATTAATATTGTTACCTGAGTTTGAATCCCAACTGAGTAATGTTGAGTTTATTCTCCAACTAATGAAATGCCCATCATTAGGAACAATGGAGAATGTGTGCAGGAAGAGGTGGGGTATTGCAAGAGTCCCTGCAGGTGAAGAATTTGTAGGTTGCCTGTGGGACTCTTAGAGTGACAGGCCACCCACTGTCAACTGTCCTCACCACAGTGTTGTCCCAAGTGCAGTGCTTACCATTTTCCAATAGAAAAAAGCAAATCTTTCCGGTATATGGGAGAAAGGAAATGGGGTGCACCTTTGAAGTAAGACTAAACCTTCTTTCTGGTGACCAGCTCTTGGGAGCCATGCTCCTTCCTATTTGCATCCTGTGTTCTTCTGTTTCTTGGTCACTTCAAATGTGGCCGAATATTGGGAGAGTGAGATGAGATGCTGGGTACTGGCTTTTATATAGAGAGAATAAACAATTACCTGGCAAAGCCCTGAGCGAAAGAAAGGAAGGCCCTTTTCTTCAGGATTGTTATGCACAGCAGTAAGTGCAGATATTTAATACTACTAGGCTGGTCCAAGGCAATGGGAGCAAGTGGCTCGAGGTTAGGACGCAAAGTCCCAACTGCTGCTTATTTCAGTTTCTTGACTATTGCTTCGCATGCCAAATAGTAGAACTTTTATTCAGGGGTGACATGCTTTGGTGGATATTTTGGCTAACAGTCTGCCTTTTCATTGGCAACCAATTGTTAATAGTGCCAGGTGTTCATATGAGATGATGATGTATTACCATTGAATTATTTTCATCATAGGGGGTGTCACATTTGAAGGTCTGTTTAACCATCAACACTACCCATCATACTTCAACCGAGACTAAATCCCTCCACTGTCACAACTATGCCACCCCTATCCCAGCCCTACACAATATACTTTATGGATTAGTCACATGCATTCAATGATTTAGAAGGGTTAACTTGGATTGGGATTGCACTGTTAACCATACGCTCAGAGTACAAAACGTTGCCCATATTTTTAACCAATTATGGGTGTACAGTCTAAATTTGCACCCTAGTTTGCTCCATTGCACTTTTCTAGTACACTTCAACAGGTTAACTTTGAAGAACATTCCCGATTTAATTTTTGTAAGCCACTATGTGAAGAGAAGCTAATGCAAATGTATAGAATGGAGTTTTGAGTATATTAGCATGTAGTAGTTATCGATACTGATATATAATTTTTGTAGTCAGCCAAGAGATTACCAATCAAAACCCCACCAAAACTTTTTGAAGTAATAAATATATAATGTTCAGTATTTTTGGAATTCAAGACAACCGCTTGTATTATTAAATCAAGAAACGTTTACAAAGCTTGACATGCTGTCAGTACAATAGAAGCTTTTAAGTGTTCTCAGTCATATGACAGATACATAACTTTTGCTTTGTATAGAGAATTTGTGATCTTGTCCAATTTCTTGGGTTTCAAAGCTTGACCACCTCCTTGGCCTGTGAGTTAAAGAATTCTAGAGGCAATGCAAGCAGTGACACTGGGATAATAGGCAGCAATTTAGGGGTGTCACGCTTCAGGGATCCTACCTAGTCCATGGAAAGCTGAGAGAATGTGCCCTGTGGCTAGCAAGTGAAATTGAAACTGAAGTGGTAATTGATATCATGGACTATCACTCTAATGGGATTGTCACCCAGCAATCTGAAATATTCATGTTTTAATCAAAAGGCAAACGATTGGACAACTTGGAATGACAGGTCACAATTCTGAGGATCTAAACTGAGGCCACTGACACTGTTCTTTGCAAATCTACAAAGCCTGACAGCATCTCATGCAACAGAATTAATGAACGCTTGGTTACAGAGAAAAGGTCAAAAGAAAGGTCTCCCTCAGGTCCTCCTGTTATTAGACAAGCTCTTCAAACCATTTAGAGTCAGAAAAGGGTTTTGACTGCCGAAGTCTGGAAAATAAATAGGCATTGTGCAATAAAATATCCCCCCCCCCAGACCTGTAGTGCTAGAAGTGTTAACAGTGGATATTAGTCAAAGAGGTTTGTTGCTTTACATTTCACAGGTGTACCGAAGAATCTATATCCGCACTAAAACAATAAGTGTACCCAATATTGAAACACTGTAGTTGATAAATGATCTATGCCCTACCTGAAGAGAGAAATATGTTCCTTCAGGACCAATTGCAACCTGCAGGTCTCCTGTATCAAGTCCTTTTTTAACATTCTCGTGGGTTGAACTTGCTTTATTACACAATAGCAGAGATTGGCTGGTAGATAGAATACCAATGCAGAGCAAGATCCCTGCTGTATAGGATCATCCCTGATGCAGATGCAGAATCCCAAGCTACTGTCACTATTCGGGGCCACTGATAATTATGGGTATGATACATTACTGAACTAAGAAATATTTAAATCATTGAAGGTATTTAGTTTTTTCCATTGACACACACACACAACCTATGGATTTTGTATTCCTTACAAAAATTGCCCACAGGCTTTGCGTTCCCAGGTTAAGAACTTCGAAGTGTTCCAATTTTTGGTGGTTGTTTATAAACGTTATGGAAGCTGGACAGCCAGAGCCTCAAATTATTTCATCCAGCATGTTGTGTTGTAAGTTTGTTTATACATGTTGAAGCAGCTTTGTTTTATGTAAGCTCTTTTTGGTGGCAGTATATTATTGCAGTTCAAGTTTTACTTTTTAATTAATTGTTTATTTCTGTTTATGGGTTTTAAAGTTGGAATATTTAGAACAGGTAAATGATATCCTGAGTGTTTGCTGTATAAAACATGTTTGATGTTTGCATTACTGATGTAATTTAAACTGATGTCCCCTCTCTTTTTAACTGTTTTTTTTTCCAGCATCTGAGAGAAGAAAAACCCAGTGGACTTATCAATGAAGCTGCAAGGTATCAGAACAAAAGATGGTTTTCTCTGTGTTAATTTACTGGAAATAACAGTATTGAGCATATTAGGAAAGCCTTACCCCAAAAACAACTTTGCCAATTTGAATTTCAGTTGGTAAACCAGTATCGCTTTTTCTATCCACTTCAGTTTTGTGGACTACTAGGCTGTAACTTTTTTCCACGGTGATGGTTCATTGGGTTAGTGTCTGGGCTAGTTTGAGTGTTATAACATGACATTTAAAGGGAGAAAATTTCATTGAAAAGCCAGAGCACAACAAAAAGTAGCTCTTTAGATGCCTTCTTTGGTATAATTTCATAACCCAGAGTACAGGTGTTGTGGGATTTTTTTTTGCCATCTTATTTGTACATTTCCTAGTTGAGTGCATAGTTTTGCTCTGGGTCCATGGCAATTTTTTTCTTTTTAATGGTAATTAGTCGTTCTATGAACTTTGAACATAGTCTTGTAAAAATATTTGTTCTTCAAGGTCCCTGATTTGTAAGATAATTACATATGTGATCAATATTTGAACTCTGCTATTTTTTTTTTCTGTATTAGTAGTAGCAGTATTGGGGAGAGGAGAAGTAGCATCCCTTGTCTTGATATTTAAACAGAATTTCTGTCAGAATGGGGGCAAAAAAATCAAACCTGAACTAATAGACAATTGAGTTAAGTCGTTTCATTTATCTTGTTTGTTCATTCATTGTGTAGACAGATTGCACTAGCGGATCTTATCATCATCAATAAGACAGATTTGGTTCCACAAGAAGCACTGGTGAAACTGAGAGCAGCTGTCAGGTAAGCATAAATTATAGTGGCTGGCAGACTTTTATTTGAATATTTACTGTTTCCTTCCTACAGCTGTTATCTGCTAGAGTTGCAGATTGCATGTTTACTGTGACAGTATGTGTTAGGTTTCAAAGTAAAGAATGTCTGTTCTGTTTGGAAGGTGTTGAGCTTGATGTTTTGCTTGTGACAAGCAAACTTCACTACATCTATGTAGTAGCTGTTCAGATCCTTAATTCTTATGGTTTTGCACAGTGTAGCTATCTCAAAATGATCAACTGTCCATTTACTTATGAGATATTTAAAATGAAGAGTGTGCAGTTCATGATTTAACAATAAAATGGTAAAGACACTGTTAGAATCAGATTGACAATGCAGTCCTAAGCGGTTACACCCTTTTGAGCCCATTCAGTGGGTTTAGAAGAGCTTAGAAAGGTGTAACTTTTTTAGGATTATACTGTGGGTTCATTAGGAGGTGCAGACCTTTACTCTACAAAGTACCATGACCCACAACAGTCTGTAGTTGGGGCTGCTTCTTTCTACCTGTAATCTTGGCTTAGTTTCTGGAGTTACCCGAAGGTCATTTTGTGGATACAACTAGCTGATCCAGGCAACATGAAGCAAAGCTGCTAATCTTGTAACATCCCTGGGTTCATCCAGTGAACTGTAAATTCAGAGGTGTCTGAGTTATTCCCACAGTGACTGGCATAACTGTTTCATCCTTTCCTGAGAGAAGAGGCAACTCTTGGACCTGGCTTCCCTTGGTCCAGTGGCCAATCTGTTGTCTCCAGAATTAGAACAAGGGTACAGGTATGCTCTCTGGTGAGAATGGTGGGTTGGCGGCTTGGTTGCAATTCTGGATAAGGTTGCTGAAGAAATGTGGTAAAAGGGCTAGAACTTACACCAAGATTAAGTGTTTTGTGTGAGCTGCAACACTTTCCATCATATGTTGGCTTTTTGGCCACATCAGTCAGACGTTTACTTCTTCAACAACTTGTAACTTTTCCCAGGCTTCATTCTTACAGGAAATGAAGCAGTGGACACAAGGATATCCCCAGGGCCAAATCTCTGCTTCCAGACAGGACAGATTTCTAACTGCTCATTAACACATCTGAGGGCAGAGATCCTTTTGGCTTTCCAAGAGCACATTTTCTTGTGAATCCCCCACTTGGGCCTATGATATGAACAGCTGTTTGACTGAGGTATTAAAAGAGATGGAAAGGTTGACAGTTTCAAGGCAGTAACTCCATTTATCTCTTGCAGGTTCACATCCCTATAAGCATACTAACAATTCTGGCAAGGTATATGTTTAGCACAAGATCTTTTGGGAAGGGAAGGTCATTTGGATTTCCCACTTCTAGCTTTGTCAGTCATATATAGGAGATTGATTCGTGTATGTATGTAACTGAGTACAAATGATGTTTCTACATCTTAACCTTTTAAATTTTTCTCCTGGCTCTGATTCTAGGTCAATAAATGGACTTGTCAAAAGTATAGAAACTCAAAGATCAAGGTAATGGTCGTATAAGGCAAAATTAATTATTGCAACTGCTGTATAGTCTTCTGAAATACTGTTATGTTTCACCAAGGAAGGTTCTTTATGTCCCACAGACAATATCTGGTCACTTTATATTTTGCTCTGGGTTCTTTCTACCTTTTCTTTCCTAGAGATTGGAAAACAGGGGTTATGGGTTATGGGAAGAACCAGTAGAGTCTGCAATCTGTTCTTCTTTAGCAATGACTTTAGAAGCACTGGTGCCGCTTATTGGATATATGTGGCCTTAACTCTTCATCCACTCTACTTTCCGTTGGAAGACTATTGGTTAACCCATGGAATTCACTATAAACAGGGGATCCTATTAAATGTCAGCAATACCGAACATCCAACCTGATAAAGAATTCTAGGAAAGTTGAAAATGTAATCACTGTTATGTGATATTTTGTTAGTCCTGATAAAAAGATATTATAACATTGCGGGGGGAGTTCTATAGACCAACGTGGCCACCTGCAGTCTTTGTCTCTTAAACAGAAGATGTGTATCAAGTGCCGTGAAATACTGTACTTAGTTTCTTTGACTGGATTTCAGTTCCATTGGTGAATAATCTTCACGATAATTTGACTACAGCCTTATGTGCAGATTAGGGTCTGAAATGAACAGCCAGAAGAGAGACATATAAAAGCCCTACTCTAAAAAAGAATGGAATGCTGGGAACAGAACTTCTTAGGAAACTCATGATTCTTGCATTGCTATCCTACTCAGGCCTATTCAGTGGGGCTTATTCCTAAGGAAGTGTTTTTAGGATTGCACTGATAGTGCCACATCTTGATGCTGTTGTTGTTGTTCAGTCGCACAGTTGAGTCCGACTCTTCGCGACCCCATGGACCAGATCACGCCAGGCCTTCCTGTCTTCCGCCGTCCTCTGAAGTTTGCTCAATTTTACGTTTGTTGCATCTATGACACTGTCTAACCATCTCATCCTTTGCCGTCCCAGTCTTCTTTGACCTTCAATCGTTTCCAGCATCAGGGTCTTCTCCAGTGAGTGCTCCCATCGACTGATTCAGACAAAAACAAGAAAATACAGTTCAATCTGTTCAACAGCCAAATCCTAATCTGTGTAGCTGTCCATTGTGAAAGCCATGACAATAGTACTGCTTTTTGACCGAACCCTTCAAAAAAGGCAGCAGAGGACTGGTGAAGAGGCTGGCTTATTGTTACCCATTGATTTTTTGTTTACATTCCCTGACTCAATTGAAGTGTAGTTTGTACCTATTTGTTTATTTAAAATGTTTATATGCCACCTCTTCAGAGAACAGCACAAGGTGGCTCATAAAATAAATCAAGTAAAAATCATAAAAACATAAAATCTTGAAAATTAGCAACCATTATGAATCAACAGAACTCTTCTCTGGAGTGACTGTCATGTGAGATAATACGGATTACTGTCTCTGTGATTCTTTCTTTTGTTCAGGTAGAAAAGCTGAGTGTGTTAAAATAGCTTCAACAACTTTGCATCCAAGCTTTTAAATTCTGTTAAAGGGAGCAAACAACATGAATTGCTGTAGCTCGTCCTTCTTAAGGAACTCTGTTAGGTCATATCTTGCATTTCCCACTTACTTGGCTTTTTTATTTATTTGAGCTGTTCTACAGCATGTGATCCGAGAAAAAATATCACCAATATACTTGCTATATTATATCAAGGTACTTACTTACCCTTAATAAGAGGTCTCCTTTCTTCCTTTCTTCCTTTCTTCCTTCCTTCCTTCCTTCCTTCCTTCCTTCCTTCCTTCCTTCCTTCCTTCCTTCCTTCCATTAGATTTACTAGGCTGCCCTTCCCTACAAGTAGGGCTCAGGGCGGCTTACAACAAAATAATATATTAATTTCAGATTGAAACTAAATTAAAACAGCCCAATGAATACTAAATACATAAAACAGCATAGAAAAGATATATGCAAAAACGCAGCATATATAAGATGGTGGAAGGATGTCAACTCTGCAGCCTCCCTAGGGGGAGGGGTTATGAAGGATGGGGACTTGTATAAGAGTGCCAAAGGATACCCCTGTCACTCTCCTCAGCCGAAAGCCCAGTGGAACATCTCGGCCTTGCATGCCCTGCAGAATGGTAACAATTCCCACGGGGCATGGATGTCTTCCAGCAGAGCGTTCTACCAGGCGGGGGCCAGGGCTGAAAAAGCCCTGGCCCTGGTTGAGGACAGCCAGACTTCTCTCAGGCCGGGGACCACCAGGAGTTTCTTATTTCCTGAGCTTAGCACTCTTTCAGGTGCATACTGAGAGAGGTGGTCCCGAAGATATGTAGGTCCCTGGCCACAACGGGCCTTGAAGGTCAGAACCTTGAACCTGATCCAGTGCTCCACTGGCAGTAGTAGAAGTTGACACAAAGAGCCTAGCAGAGCTGAAGATCCACCTGTGTCTTTCAGGTGTCCACAAAGCTTCACATTTGCAGAGACCTATTTGAACTTACATGTGTTAAATACATTTTTTTAAAACCTAGGTATAATTTTCTTGGGTATACAGATGACTGAGGAACTGTTTTCAACATTTAGCCTTTAAAAGCCAAAATACAACAAGAATCTCTCCTAGCAAGACAACATCAGCATTGTGGCAGCTTTGCTGCCGTTGTCATATCTTGAAAGAGTTTAGGGTCATCGCAGCTCTGAATGGCTGAGACAGGCAACTAGCGTAATGCTGGTGAAGAAAGCCAGTGTGGGGAACTGGGACTTGCTCCTCCTTGTAGGTGTTCAAAAGTTCTATGTTGCTTCCAAGCAGTGACATTCTTTTTTACCGCCTATAGTCTGTCCTCATATTGTGTTTTGCTTCTAGAGTACCACAGAGAGCAGACAATTCAAACTCAGCTGGTCATAAATGAAAGAGGAGGTTTTCTTACACCATTCTTGAGCATTAAAATGTTTCCTCTTGGAAGCAAAGCTTTGGCAAACTTACTGAAGAATATAAAAGTGGTAAACCCATGGGAATTTCTCCCCGTTTTGCTGCACTGTCTTTTAAAAAAATCTAATATATGTACATACCCTTTACAACTCATTTTTAATAACCAAACAAATTTATCAATGCTGTCATTACTGGCATTAACACCCACACTTAAACACTTACCACATGTTTTAAAGAAGCAGGAAAAGTGGCTTGATTGAAAGCAGGGCAAGCATCCAAGGCTGTGGTCCTGTCCAGATTCACTTGGGGAATGAACCCTGTTGAATACAGATGAACTTGCTTATGAATAGATGTGCATAAGACTGCACTGCATGTAGCCAAGTCAGTGGGAGTAATTATGTACCTTCCAGGTAGCTGTTACTCTTGGTTTCATCATCATCTAAATGGCAGAACCAAAACAAATATATTGTGGATCAGTTTTCTTCAAACTTTGACCCAGAATACCTGTTCAAAACCATAATTATCCTTCTAAATAAATACTTCTGTTTAGCGAGAAGACACTTCCTATAGCTGATCTTCAGTAAGTCAGTATTTTCCCATGCCAGTAATTTTCTAAACGAATTCCATGTAGAAGGTAATTCACAAGCAAAAAGCAGGAGGAACAAAGGTGCTGCATCTAGGTGTGCCTGTAAGACAAGGAATAAGTAAAACATTCAGATTATTCAAGCAAGCCAACTAGGTGACAGATTAAAGGGAGTATTGCAAGTACATTGGCCTGGAACAAACCTTTCATCTAATTTGGCAATGCGTGAAGGAGTTGGAACTGCTTTGCTTGTTACAAAGTCCTTGTTTCCCTTACAGGTCCCATTGACCGGGCATGCTCTGGGAATTCTGTCCTCAGAACTTACTTCTTAAATGCATAGACCTAACCTGGACCAGGACCATTGTATGTGGGCACAGGGGACTTAAGCCTCCTCCCCCCACATCTGCTATCTGCCCCATTGGGGAAGTATACTGATGGGTTAACGAATAAATTACCTCAATGGAGCAAATAGCACATGTTTAGAAGCAGACCCACACATGCCTGAAAATTAAGGCCAGAGCATGGAGCTCCGAAAAGATGTCTCTCTCCAGGTCCAGGACACATGAAGAACACAAGAACTTTGTAGCATGTGAATTGGTCTTCAGTAAGTGCAAGGTGATGCTGCTGTCCATTCATCACATCTTTTCCAATGGGGGAAAAAAATAACACTTTCTATTAGATTACCTGTTATTACTTTTTACCAGTGTATACTGAGGATTAGGGCCAGTCTGGATTCTGGAGGTGTTCCAGTTGTTTAACGTTGTTGTAGAGATCTCTGTCTCTGGGTACTTATCATGCACTGTTTAAACGATCATCTGACTTTAATTTTAAGGATTTATATGGTGATATAAATTTAGTACCAAACTTTCACGTTTTCTGATTTCTTGCTACACCATTTAGTTTTCTGTATGGTTCTAAGATTTTGTAGTTGACAAACCTGGTGCATCTAATGCAGACAGTTCTTTTTCCCCCCATGAGGTCCCTATTATTGAGGCAGCTTGTTCAAACTGGCTCAGTGTTAGAGACCTCATTAAAAAGTTAGTGTGCAGGTCCACGTTCTGTTCTGAAGTGTCAGTCCAGTTTAATTAAAAGCTGCATATAGTCAGCCAATCTTCAGCTCATTTTCTTCATAATCTAGACACACGTTAACTTGATTCTAAAATTACTGTAATGTGGAAGCAATGGGTAGTATGTAACAAAATTTAACAAAGTACAAATGCCACCCAATTCCTATTTTTGGTATTTGTAGTTGTTGAATTTACCTGGATTTTAAGTTCCTCAAAATAGAGATTGCATCTTTGTGAGACACTGATTGCACATATTTAAAGAATAACATTATTCTGCTTTTTCATAGAGTTGATCTTTCTGATGTGTTGGACCTGCATGCTTTTGACAGAATCTCAGGGAAAAGGTAACATTCAGTTTTACAACATTCTCAGTAACAATTAGCATAGTATAGCTGTTCTTTAGGACATAGGCAAATGCTGTAATTTTAGAATTACCCTTGGATCACTGTCTGTTACATGGCTAATTATAGCCACTGGCATAATTAGCTGTGTTCCTATCACTGTTTTCAAACACTCAGTGAGCAGAAAAACCTAGATAAATAGCTATGCAAGGCAGAAAAACTGTCCAGTGTTTAGCCAGCTCTAAAGGATTCCATGGAAAGCTCATATCACATGTTATCAGTCATGTCACAGTTGCTAACCAGTAGGTGACAATTGAATAAACATATAATAATCTTAAAAGCAAATGAGGCTGAAAATAGAATTGCATCTAACCAGCAACTTGGAATTGTGGTCTAAGTTCTGGATTCCTTGCAAAGGAGATGCAATTTGGATAGATGTATCCTCTGCAATAGAAAAGTACTTTTAAAAGGACACCTATACAGAGCCATAGCATTTGCAATCTATTTTTCTTCATGCATTTTTCTAATGGAGCTCTTTAATTGGTATCATACAACTGCATGATTTGGCTATGAATGGTACTTTTTGTATGCTGCACAAATGTCTCCTTTTGAAAAGATATTCTAAAAAGCAGCTATCTACTTATTCATTTCCTTGTCCATGATGAGTGATATACATTATATATGGAGTCATGTTTTATTGGGCATCATATTCTACCTAACACAATTCTTTTATGCAGTGTAGCAATCATTTTGTTTTTGTTTGGGGGATGTTGTCTTTCCCTCAAAATATGTGTGTCCTTGAAATAGCACTGGTGGAAGACACTGTGCATCTTCTCTGTAAAGCAGATATATTTCTTCATTCATCTGCCTCTCTAGGACCAACCTTGAGTTTTGTTTTGCTTCCTTGCATTTTCAGAAGTTGTACAATGTATAAAAATGCAGCAAGTGTCTTCCATTGATTCATTCACTCGGTGACACTTCTCACACCCCCAGTCTCTGGCATGATTAAAAGAAGATGCTCTTGGGTGCCAGTAGCTCAGGCTGCAATATAGTATCTGCTCTTTAGAACTAATTGCACAAACAGTACAGATGACCCACTGACCAGCAACTTCATGTTGCAAAACAGATCCGTTATCAAGAGCGTACAGTGCTGCACAAACCAACAAAGACAGAAGAACAACCTTATAATTCTTATAACATAGTTCTGCAGTTCGCTAATATTGGTGTTTCTGCTCAACATAATACTACATTTATTGTTCTAAGTTTGCAACAGAAGCTGCAGCTTCAAGATGCATCGCAACCACACCTAGATAAGGTAACTATTTTATTTTCCTCCAGTGAAGTGGTTCTATAATCTGCTGGTCAGGCGTCATTTGCGACTTGCACATACTGTAGTAGAGCCTTTATATTCCACATTTCCTTTATTCCTTCTTATGTTGATCAGTCTTCCTCATAGTGCCTTGCACCCTCCTTTCAGTTAACTGGTAGTATGCAAGGCAGCAATTCAGAGGGTTGGTTTCATTAAGAAACGTACAGTTTGGTGGAATTTGTCAGTAAATGAGGTAACAATTGTCGGGGGGGGGGGGTTAGTAGAGAAGAAAACCTTACCAGTTCTTCATCATATTGACCTTTCTTATTGATTAAAATGAGCTAAAAATTGTGCTAGCAACCAGGTAGCTAGATTATATTTGCTGAGATCATTTAGTAGAACCTTGGTGTTGATTTTTATAAAGAAGTTCCAGTAACAGTTACTGTCTACTGTTGTCTCCAGATGCAGATAAAGATAGTGAAATCTTGGGAAAATGCTGTCTGTGCCTGAATTTAGGAAGCTGTTCATCAGCCCTGAATACTAGCCCTTAGGCATGAGTGCTAATCAGTTGCTTCCTTTAGTTCATCCTGGTCAACAAAGTAGAAATAAACCTGGATAGAGTAACTTGCAAGGATTTTTAGGCTTAATAAGATGGCTATTATCAAAACCATTATATAGTTACCATCACTTGTTAAAACTTAACCAGTATGTCAATCCCTATAGCAAGCAGGTTGTATTCCATGAAAAAACTATATTTTAAAATATGATTAAATTTAGTGGATTTAGTGGTTGACAGCCTTGGTAACGTCAGTGTTACATCAGTGTAGCTGGGTTTGCACAGTGCTACTACACTAGGAGTAGCTACCGTCCATAGAATCATCTTAATCGAAGTGTGTTAGAATGAGATTCAAGCTCACATGAAAGTACAGCACAATAGAGCTGCTGTATCAGATCATGAACTAACAGCACATTTTGTATTATTTTTGTGTCTTTACGGTTTGAAGTGCTACAATTCTGGGGCTGTAAAGGGGTATCCAGATTGCAAATGCAACATGGACCATTGCAGATGTCAAGAGAACATACAACTGAAGTTATTGGTTTTCAAGTAAGATGTATTTGTTCCAGTGAAAGAGCTGATTATATATCTATTTCAGAGTATTGTCACATCCACATTTGAAGTTCAAGGAAGCACAACTGAAGAAGACCTAAATGAGTTTGTTCAAGTAAGTGCTTCATACTTCATATTTAAGGTCCAGTTCACTCATCATTTTTCCCTGCAATGTAAGAGGGCAGGAAATGGATTTGTATGCCCATGGTTCTTGGTGGATTGAACTTCCCCCTGGGAACTCATAAGTAGAGCGTTGACATTTTTGTTCAGGAAAATATCCTGTTCTCTATACATCATTCTTAAAAACGTCTTCCTTTCTGCTCATAGAACTTGCTGTGGGAGAAGACTTTGAAAGACAAGAGAGGTAACCCCATGGAAGTCATAAGACTCAAGGTTCAGTACTCAGTTTCACCGAGCTTTGTTTTCAGAGGCATTTTGCTTGGACATAATGTGGCTGCATACATGGCAAATATAAACCTAATCCACCAGCATTCATTTGGACTATACAATGACATGTGAAGGGCCACATAGAGCCCATTCCGAGGTTACCTTCATCGCATAGGCGACAGTTGAGATGCCTCTTATACTTCCAAGCCCCCCGTCTCCTTGAGGATTCCATGAGGTCATTGCATTCTAAGTCCTTGTACCCCTCTTAAAACTGGAGTAGGTAGCATGGGAGAAGGAGCCACACCATGGATTCCCCCCACATGGTTCAGAGCTTCTGATGTTACCCCAGCAGCACAGGAAAGAGTTATGCTCCATGGCTCCAACACCTCAGATTAGGCTGTTCTTTACTGGAGGACGGTTAGGTAGCACTGCAAACTGGGGAGGATTTACAGACACATTTGTCTCCACCCACTTCTAAAATCTGTGCTAAATTCATCACTGCTAATGTGGGACAACATGCTTCAAGACTAGTAGGATTGTTAAATTAACAAAATTATTAAGTGATATGTCCCAAATTAAATGCTTTCTGTCATGTCCCAAATTAAATGCTTTCATGATACAGCTATACAGCTACTAATTTATATTTTTTCTCATTAGGGATTGGTTTCTATCAAAGATAAACCTCATCAAGTGATAGTCCAAGGTATTCATGAGCTGTATGATCTAGAAGACACCACCGTGAGTTGGAAAAAGGAGGATGAACGAACAAATAGATTAGTGTTAATAGGTATGGGAAACATGTGTTTCATCTGCTTGTTTTACAAGCAGTTATTTTTTTTAAAATGGGGGGGGGTAGTTCACCCTCTTATCCTGGGAATGAGCCTAGCAGGATGGAATGGCTGTGGAGAATGAATGTGTGCATCTGGAGGAGTTGAGTTCCCCTTATCCACATCTCTCTTTGTTCTTTAAATCACAAACCTGGCATGCTGTAAATGTGACTGGGACAGCCCCACATCTAGGCACAGATCTGTCACCATCATGTGTAGCTGGGCTTTCAGATGTATCTTTCCAAAACCTTCAAGTGCCTAATAACTAGCAATTTGTTAATGCATACTACAGAATACTTTTGCTTCTACCTTAGACAGGCTCTTCCTTGTGAAGAATCTAACCCCTGGGAGTCACTCTATGCAGTAGCCTTGCTTCTTGCATTGTGGTGGAAGAGGTGTAACTTTGAGAGTTGGGGAGAGGATAAGGAGCAGCCACCCCTCCCGCTGAGCTGCTTGCCATGCACCCCTACCCCTCTGTGCATCAAACCTGAAGGGGCATCTGATTAGACTATTGTACTAAACATTTGTCTTCTTCCAGAAGAATCAATAAAGCCGTTTCCCCTTTAGTATGCATTAAGAATTTTCTTCTTTTTATGTTGGTCTCTCTGCAGGTAGGAACTTGGATAAAGATATCCTTCAGGATGCCTTTATAGGTATTGTGACAAAGAGAGAAGAAAATGGTTGATGCTGCCTTCCGAACAGTTGGTTATCAATACTACATGATTTTAAAATTGAAAAATCCTGGACTGTATTTTCCTTTTTAATGGCTGTCTACAGTTCTCTACAGCTGAACATACTTGCTTTTATTTCCTAAAATAAAATTAGTACATGTGTGTATGTTTGTCATTGGGATTGGTTTTAAATAGCACAATGACTAAATTGCTAATTGGAGGGGGGGGGACTTAATGTGCAAGCACACTCTAATTCCCTTTTGCGTTCTCAAGTCACCAGAGACTTCTTTATATTGATTATTTTGTTGAAAGCCCAGTGATTAAAAAGAGATTACCCCTACTATTAGTCAATTCCTAATAGTAAAAATAAAATAGAAGAGAGTGGTTGTTACAGTGGAGTGTCCTAGAATCATAAAGCTAGAAGGAAGCCAAAGGTTATCTGGAGTTCCTACCTTATAGCAGCATCCTCCCTCCCACTAAACCCATCCATTGTCAGGGATAGACTGACCATTTAACATACTGGAAAGTTCCTGGTGGGCCACTGCCATGGGGAAGGGCCACTTGCAGCCAGGAACGAGCTGAGCCAAGGGGTTGTAGCATCACAGCTCTCTCCTGTCCATATTGCACAGCTGTCCTTTTACAGCTCAACTCTCTCCTACTAGTTATACTACAAGGACCAGAGGCAGAGTGAACAATTTACAGTGCTGCTCACCTGATTAAAGGAATAGATTTTAATAAAGTGATCCAAGTGAATCAGGTGAATGACGGTCATGCTGACTAGGAAGATTGCAAGGTCACTAACCAATAAGAAGTGTATTTCCCAAACGCAAATACAATAAGTAGTTGTATTGGTCTGAAGCAGCAGGACAAAGTTTGAGTCCAGTGGCCCCTTTAAGACCCAACAAACTTTTATTCTAGGTATAAGCCCTCGTGGTATCTGAGGAAGTGTGCATTTACTTCTTCGGACACCATGAAGATTCCGGTAACATTCCCCCTGAAAAACTTTTTATTGCTTTAGCAACGTTCTGTCCTACCTAGCATCCCATCTGCGGTTGTAGTGATCTCGGCTGTGCCAGACAGGTTATTTCTACACACACACACACCCGGTATGGTGTGTGTTTTCAGGTAATGATTGAAGCTCAGAGTACTCGCTGCCTAACAGTAGGAGGTAATGCTATGGAATTTTGGAACTCCAAACCTGCATGGGTTGGAAGGCTTGGCAGGTAGGGAACAGTGGAGAATGTTGCTGTGGAAATCTAGCATCAGGATCTGGTGCAGCAGAGTCGTTAAGAGCCAAATTGTGCTCAGTTGTATCTTTCCCCAGATACTTGGGGGTGGGTACTGAAAACTAACCTTGGAAACTGCAATCCAGGAGAGGATGGGCTAAAGAGGGTCTCCTTACTTTTTCCTGCCATTCAAACTCAGCTCTCCCAGCTGCTCCCCCCCCCCATCGAAAGGAAAGATTCAGGGATGAACATAACATAGATTCAGGTGGGTACCTGTATTGGTCTGAAGCAGCAGAACAAAGTTTGAGTCTAATGGCACCTTTAAGACCAACGTTTTATTCAAGTTATACGGTAAGTTTTTGTGTGCAAGCACACGAACATAAGCAAAACCTTGCTGGATCATCTAGTCCAGCATCCTGTCTCGCTCAGTGGCCAACCAGTTCCTTTGGATGGCCAACAACAGGGCATAGAGGCCTTCCGCTGGTGTTGCCTCCTGGCTCTGGGATGCTTGACTGATTGGGGGGGGGCATAAGATGGGGGAGGGAAATATGGTGATAGCTGCAATGCTACAAGGAGATGTATTTTTTAAAAAGTCCTGGAGGAGATCAGTCCTTTTGCTGTCTCGAGGACTAACCTGGTGGCAAAGGCAGGATACTTTAAGCTGATGAGTCTGTTTCAGGGGAGGGAGCTATTACTGTATTCTTGGGAGTGGGGGGGGGGAGAAGAAACATGGGGTTCCTTATTGTAAGAAGTCTCAGCAAGTGGGAGTTGTCTCAATGTCTTCTTCCTGAATTGGTCCAGGGTGAGGATCTTTGCCATGATTAGATTCCTTTATGTTTCTGGACTGCTGATGCAGAAATGCCTGGATGCTAGGCTGTCACAGGGCTTTGACTTTGCATTACAATCATTCCCTAACTGTGCAACGAGGTGTGCCATATACTTATTGGTTTGCAAGTCTGAGCAACTAGATGTAGGTTCTACAATGTGTACTGTGAGGACATGGGTGGTGGAACATTGTTCTTCTATAAGGAACAAAGTTACAGAAGTGCTCCTTGTGAATAATTTTCTGGAAGTTGGTCATGTACCTGAAGATCTTAAGTTCTTGGTACTTGAGAAACATCAACCCAGACCTTATGCCAAGGATGATGTATAGAAGGAGGTTCTCCCTAAAGAATCTTTCTGGATTAAGATTTTATACCCCCCATGGGCTAAATAAAACACTGGAATTGTCCTGTTTCTTATGAAAACTTACTCTCCTCCTGTTTGTGCTGTGGTATTCATATCCAGTGTCTTTTCTGGGATGTGTCAACTATTCATTTAATGGTTCCTCTCTTTCTATATATCTTTTTTTTTTGAGAGCATAAATGTAGTACTAATAGATTGTGGTCCCTTTAAGAGACAATGCAGGAGTGTTAAGCAGCTGTTTTCCATTTCTCTTTTGCGCCTGATAAATATTGTTAGTAACATCTATTTCCTCACCAGCGAGAGATTTTGAGCACATGTTGACAGAGAATTATACATTTTAGACTGGAGGAAATACTTGACCTTGACTGTTCCTTGGGTGAAGTATTTTTGCTAATAACTGATACTTAAGTATTGCTATTTAAGTAATTAACGGTGTTACTAGATAGCCTGTGATTCCTTGTAGATGCTCTGCCAGTTTCCTTACTGGAAAAGGAATGAGATCACCAAAAGGTGGGAGTCAACTGAAAACCCTGCCTTGTTTGCACTTTGGACACTGCAGATTTTGATTAATTCTACTTATAATTTTTCCTTCAACTTTTCCCTTGTAAGGGTTCCCTGTGTGCCATTTTGATACTGGGTGGAGATTACTATTTTTTTCTACTGAATATCATATGGAATATTGGAAATAACTAATACCTTACAATAACACTTTGAGTATATATAATCATTTTTTACTTTTGCCTGTATTGTAATAGTGTGTATATCACAGTGGTCATTTTTGCCACATGGTGTGAGTTGACACTTCCTGACCATATAGAGTTGCCAGGTCGCCTCTGGCAGGGGATGGGGGGGGGGGGAACAGTTGCCAGATCCAGGTTGGGAGTTTCCCTGGAGCCTGGGGAGGACTAGAACCTCAATGAGGTGCAATTCCACAGAGTCCACCCTCCAAAGCATCCATTTTCTCCAGGGGAATTGATGTCTGGAGATGAGCCATAGTTCCAGGGATCCCTAGGTCTCACCTGGACACTGGCATCCCGTTGAGCACAGGGGGCTGAGGCAGTAAATTAGAATAGCCTTCATAAATGTATCAAAAATATGGTTTTGTCTAATTTTAAAAGCCACTGTGGAGTAGTGGTAGGAGTCTTGGACTAGGATTGGAATAATCACTTTCCCATAGAAGCTTGCTGGGTGAATGTAGGCCTAACCTATCCCATGGGGTTAGGATAAAATAGAGAAGAAAATGAAGTTGTAAACCAATTAGGTCCCAAACTGGGGAGAAAAGTATTTTTGTCAAAATACATCTTATTGTGATATACGTCTGATTAAAGTACAGAAATTAAGGTAAATACAAAAATAAACGCTACAGAAATGATCCAATATTTAGATTTAGCACTATTTAAAGAATTGGTCAAAAATGTACATCATAAAGTACTGTGGCAAACAAATAACTTGTCGTACACAACAAAAGGGGGGGGTGTCGTATATATAATCCTTAAAGTCATTTACCAGAAGTTAACATACTGAACCAGGCTAGGAATCACATTTTGTGTAGGTAGCCAAATAGTTGTGAAATTAGATTGTGAAGTGGGGATGTTCAAGAATATAGATATTGTCCATTATTCTGCCCATTATGTAATAGTTCATAGTTTTTGGTACCGGAGGAATCGTAAAGGAGCAGATGCATTCTTCAGGTGGACACTATGACTGCCATAGCAGATAACAGAAGAAAGGAGACCATATCAACTTTATAAGGCATACACCTATTTGATGCCCATTTGTTGGGAGAAAAGAATTTTAAAGTCAGTATAGAACTCACCTTTAATTTTAAGTGCCTTTCTAATCTCCCTGAAATAGTTAACGTATCTGGTGTCCAGAGCGCTTTGTAACGTGACAGATGCGTGACAAGCCACTGCCAGTGAGGAAGTTTTGCGCCTCAAGATCAGAGGGAAGCAATTCCGTGAAAGAATCGTTTCGCCGGCTCTTGTCGGGCAAGGATGGTTGTTTCCTTTCTCTTGCAGCTCCTACCTAGGCGGTGGTGTGAAGGACGGCCACCGGCCTACCCCCAGAGTTTCCCATCGCTTGGAAGACAGGCGGCTGCCGCCACTGAAAGCCCGTTCAGCTCCACCTCCGTTCTTTGGCGCCAGAACAGAGAGGAAAAACGCCCGTCCCGACACGGGTTTAAAAGGCACCCTTCCCGAGGGCCAGGGGAGGCGGGGTATAAAAGATCAGCTGACGAGGGGCGGGCCGAGGGGGTTCCCCGGCTCTCCTGGAGCTCGGAAAGGGTGTCTTTGAAATCCAAATGCCCGCTGCCACCCCTCGCGCCCCATCGCCCAGCGGCCGCAGCACCACCAATGGCAACACCGCTCGGCCATCATACGCGAGAGGTCGTTTTGGCTCCCCCGGGTCTTGTTAGGGGCTCTTTAGGAGATCACTCCGTCATGCGGCAACTCGGGTCTTGAACCGCTGAACTACTGACCTTCCACAGCCTGCAGTTCAGCGTCTTAACCACTTGAGCCACTGCAGCTCCTTGTTAGGGGCTCTTTAAAAAGTTATCGGCGGCGGCGGAGGCGGCGGGGGGGGCAAAGGTTCGCCCG